TTGGGATGGATGCGGGATGCTGGGGACACAAGGGAGACATTAGGGACACTGGGGATACTGGGATGGATGTGGGGTGTTGGGGACACAAGGGAGACATTAGGGACACTGGGGATATTGGGATGGATGCGGGATGCTGGGGACACAAGGGAGACATTAGGGACACTGGGAATACTGGGATGGATGTGGGGTGTTGGGGATACAAGGGAGACATTAGGGACACTGGGGATACTGGGATGGATGTGGGATGTTGGGGACACAAGGGAGACATTAGGGACACTGGGAATACTGGGATGGATGTGGGATGTTGGGGACACAAGGGAGACATTAGGGACACTGGGAATACTGGGATGGATGTGGGGTGTTGGGGACACAAGGGAGACATTAGGGACACTGGGGATACTGGGATGGATGTGGGGTGTTGGGGACACAAGGGAGACATTAGGGACACTGGGAATACTGGGATGGATGTGGGGTGTTGGGGACACAAGGGAGACATTAGGGACACTGGGAATACTGGGATGGATGCGGGGTGTTGGGGACACAAGGGAGACATTAGGGACACTGGGGATACTGGGATGGATGTGGGGTGTTGGGGACACAAGGGAGACATTAGGGACACTGGGAATACTGGGATGGATGTGGGGTGTTGGGGACACAAGGGAGACATTAGGGACACTGGGAATACTGGGATGGATGCAGGATGCTGGGGGCTTCCTAATGATGGAAGGGTGTGGGGATCCAGTGGGAAGCAAAGGGGGATGCTGGGGACACAAGGGAGACACTGGGGACACTGGGAATACTGGGATGGATGTGGGATGCTGGGGTCTGCTCCCAGAGGATGCAAGGATGGGGGAATCCAGTGGGAATCAAAGAGGGATATTGGGATGGATGCGGGATGCTGGGGTCAGCTCCCAGAGGATACAAGGATGGGGAGTCTAGTGGGACACTGGGAACACTGGGATGGATGTGGGATGCTGGGGTCTGCTCCCAGAGGATACAAGGATGGGGGAGTCTAGTGGGACACTGGGAACACTGGGATGGATGCGGGATGCTGGGGTCAGCTCCCAGAGCATGGAAGTACGGGGGATGCTAGAGGAGGGATGTGGATATAGGGGCTTCCTCCGGAGGATGAAGGATGCAATGGGTGGGTTTGGGACCAGCGGGGACACCGGGATGGATGTGGGATGCTGGGGTCTGCTCCCAGAGCATGGAAGTACGGGGGATGCTAAGGGGGGGGATGTGGATCCAGGGGCTTCCTCCGGAGGATGAAGGATGCAAAGGGGGGGGATTGGGACCAGCGGGGACACCGGGATGGAAGCGGGATGCTGGGGTCTGCTCCCAGAGGATACAAGGATGGGGGATGCTAAGGGGGGGATGTGGATCCAGGGGCTTCCTCCGGAGGATGAAGGATGCAAAGGGGGGGTTTGGGACCAGCGGGGACACCGGGATGGAAGCGGGATGCTGGGGTCTGCTCCCAGAGGATACAAGGATGGGGGATGCTAAGGGGGGGATGTGGATCCAGGGGCTTCCTCCGGAGGATGAAGGATGCAATGGGGGGGGATTGGGACCAGCGGGGACACCGGGATGGATGCAGGATGCTGGGGTCTGCTCCCAGAGGATACAAGGATGGGGGATGCTAAGGGGGGGATGTGGATCCAGGGGCTTCCTCCGGAGGATGAAGGATGCAATGGGGGGGGATTGGGACCAGCGGGGACACCGGGATGGATGCGGGGTGCTGGGGCTGCGGGCGCTGGGTACCCGTGGGGCTGCTGGAAGTGCCGGATCTCGATGCTGAGGAAGGGCAGGAAGGGGCGGGCGCAGAAGGGGCAGGTGCTGGTGAGCGTGGAGTCGTCCGAGCTCCATCCGGCCATCACCTCCTCGTCGTAGACCAGCGCCCCACAGGCCTGGCACCGCGAGCAGCTCGACAGCAGCACCTGCCCCATCAGCCCCATAGAGAGCCATGGGGCGGAGGGAGGGGAGGGGAGGAAGGGGGCAGGATGGGACCGCCCCCCCCCCCCGTGCTCACCTCCATAGCAGGGGGCTCCTCCTCCGGAGCCCCATGGGGATCGGAGGCTTTGGGAACGCCGGAGCTTCCCAGGGAGGTGTCGGAGAGGTCCAGGTCGCTGCCCAGGGATGCGGAGCTCTGAGGGATACAGGGCAGGGAGCACGGAGCTGAACGGGGCACGGGGAGCAGCCATAGGGATGGGGGAGCAGGTCCCATAGGAATGAGGCTGGGAGCGCTGGGGAGGAGCTGAGGAGGGAGGTCAGAGCGGCTGCCAGGGGGTGATGGGGATGCAGGGATGGTCAGGGATACAGGGATGCTCTGGGATACAGGAATGATCAGGGATACAGGGATGCTCGGGGATACAGGGATGCTCGAAGATGCAGAGATGCTCTGGGATACAGGGATGCTCAGGGATACAGGGATGCTCGGGGATACAGGGATGCTTGAGGATGCAGAGATGCTCTGGGATACAGGGATGCTCAGGGATACAGGGTACTCAGTGATAAAGGCATGCTCGGGGATACAGGGATGCTCGGGGATACAGGGATGCTCGGAGATGCAGGGATGCTCGGGGATACAGGGATGCTCGGGGATACAGGGATGCTCAGGGATGCAGGGATGCTCAGGGATACAGGAATGCTCCGGGATACAGGGATGCTCAGGGGGATGCTCAGGGATACAGAAATGCTCCAGGATACAGGAATGCTCTGGGATACAGGGGTGCTCGGGGATACAGGGATGATCAGGGATGCAGGGATGCTCAGGGATACAGGGATGCTGCAGAGGGATCTTCCTTCAGGCACAGGACAAGGAGTGAGGGGTTCAAATTGGAACGGGGGGATTTTGGCTGGACACAGGGAAGTTCTTCCCTGTGAGGGTGGGGGGACACTGGGATGGGTTGAATGGAGAAGGTTTGGATGCCCCATCCCTGGCAGTGCTCAAAGCCAGCTTGGACCAACCTGCCCTATGGACACTGCCCCTTCCCATGGATCTGAATGAGCTTTATCCCACCCATCCCACTCCATCCCATCCCACCCCATCCTACCCTATCCATCCATCCCATCCATTCCAGCCCATCCCATTCCAGCCCATCCCACCCATCCTGCCCATCCATCCCATCCATCCCACCCCATCCATCCCATTGATCCCTACCCACCCATCCCATCCCATCCCACCCATCCATTCCAGCCCATCCCATTCCATCCCACCCATCCTATCCCATTCCATCTCATCTCACCCATCCTATCCCATCCACCCCATCCATCCCATTGATTCCTACCCACCCATCCCATTCCATCCCATCCCACCCATCCTATCCCATCCATCCCATCCCCACCCCATCCCATCCATCCCATCCCACCCATCCTATCCCATCCATCCCATCCACCCCATCCACATCCCATCCATCCCATCCCACCCATCCTATCCCATCCCTCCCATCCACCCCATCCCCATCCCATCCATCCCATCCCCACCCCATCCCACCCCATCCCCATCCCATTGATCCCCACCCACCCATCCCATCCCACCCATTCCAGCCCATCCCATCCCACTCCATGCATCCCATTCCATTCCAGCCCATCCCACCCATCCCATCCATCCCATCCCCATCCCACCCCATCCCACCCCACCCCATCCATCCCTCCCCACGCCGCACCCCACGGGTACCTCGGATGCAGTGGACTCCGGGCGCTGCCGGGACCTCAGCAACGACCCCATGGGGCTGCGCCGTGGGGCTGGGGGGGCGTCCCCCTCCCAGGGCTCGGGGCCGGGGCCGGGGGGGCGAGGGCCGGGCCCCTCTTCCCGGGGGACAGGAGCTGCTGGAGCTTGGCCGCCAGCCCCCGGCGCGGCGTCGCCGCCCCCCCCGGGCCCCCCCCGGCCTCCTCCGCACCCGAGGGGCTCCCATGGGGAGCGGGGGGCGGGGGGGGCGGCCCCGGGACCCCCCCTTGGGAGCCCTCGGGCCGGGGGGGGCCGGGGGCGCTGACGCTGCCGCTCCTCTGCAGCCGCGGAGCCGGGGGGGGGTCCTGGAGGCTGCGCCCGGCCCACGTGGTTTGGCGCTGCAGGGGGGGCCGGGGGGCTGCGGGGGGGGCAATGGGGTCAGTGGCAGACGATGGGGGTCTGTGGGGTCAATGGGGGTCAATGGGGGTCTATGGGGGTCTATGGGGTCATCGAGGGTCTATGAGAGTCAGCGGGAGACAATGGGGGTCAATGGGAGTCAATGGGGGTCAATGGGGGTCTATGGGGTCAATAGGGTCATCGAGGGTCGATGAGGGTCAGTGGGAGACAATGGGGGTCTATGGGGTCAATGGGGGTCTACGGGGTCAATAGGGTCATCGAGGGTCAATGGGAGTCAATGGGGGTCAAGGGGAGTCAATGGGGGTCAACATGGGTCAGTGACTGTCAATGGGGACAGTGAGTGTCAGTGGGGTTAATGAGTGCCAATGGGGGTCAATGAGGGTCAATGGGAGTCAATGGGCGTCAACGGGTGTCAGTGGGGTCGATGAGGGTCCACGGGCATCAATGAGGGTCAATGGCAGTCAATGGGGTCAACGGGGGTCAATGAGGGTCAATGGGGGTCAATCAGGGTCAACGGGAGTCAATGGGATCAATGACTGTCAAAGGGGTGTCACTGGGAGTCAACGACTGTCAATAGGGGTCAATGGCTGTCAATGTGGTGTCATTGGGAGTCAATAAGAGTCAACGGGTGTCAATGGGAGTCCATGGCTGTCAATAGGGGTCAATGCCTGTCAATGGGGGTCAATGGTTGTCAATAGGGGTCAATGCCTGTCAATGGGGGTCAATGGTTGTCTATGGGAATCAACGGCTGTCAATGGGTATCAATGGCTGTCAATGGGGGTCAATGGCTGTCAATGGGGGTCAATGGCTGTCAATGGGAATCAACGGCTGTCAATGGGTATCAATGGCTGTCAATGGGAGTCAATGGATGTCAACGGCTGTCAATGGGGTCAATGGCTGTCAATGGGAATCAACGGCTGTCAATGGGGGTCAATGGGTATCAATGGCTGTCAGTGGGGGTCAATGGCTGTCAATGGGGTCAATGGCTGTCAATGTGGTGCCATTGGGAGTCAATGAAGGTCAATGGGAGTCCATGGCTGTCAATGGGGATCAATGACTGTCAATGGGGGTCAATGACTGTCAATGGGGGTCAATGGCTGTCCATGGCCCTTCCCCCCCCCATCACCTACCCCCCTCAATGCCGGTGCCTCCTTGGCGCTGGCGCTGCCGCAGGGGCTGCCGGAACCGCGCCGCCCCCAGCACCACGTTGCGGAGCTTGGCCCAGCGCTGCCGCGCGCTCTGGGTACCCGACGGCCACTTGCTCTCCAGCACCGCCTGCACCGGGTGGGGGGGGACCACAGGGATCAGCACCCATCGGGACACCCCCCCCCCTTACAACCCCCCCCTTCATCCCCATCCACCCCCCATCACCATCACCCTGTTGTAGTAACCGTAGGTGACGGCGTTGGGGACGATGCCGGCGCGCTTCATCTCCAGCATCACGCGCACCGAGAGCACGGGCTCCCGTACTGCCCGCAGAGCTGGAGCAGGACGCGGTAACACACCTGTGGGGTGGGGAGGACACCCATTAAAGGGGTCTGGGACCCCTAACCACCCACAACCCCCCCCCCACTTTAGCACCCACCTCATCGGGCAGCACCACTCGGTGAGCCTCCATGCGGCGCAGGACGTCGTAGGCCAAGTGCAGCGCGGGCAGCTTGGCCGGCGCGGCGCGGACGTGGGTGGGCAGGTAAAGGAACCAGAGCCCATAGCAGTGCCCCAGCAGGCACCGGCCCCACATGTCGGGGACCGAGGAGTACTTCTGGGCCACGCGCTGGGCCACCTTCATCTCCTATGGGGAGGAAGAGGAGGCAGTGATGGGGAAAGGGGGGGGGGGTGATGATGAGCATCCTGCATCCCGCGCCGGCCCCACTGACCTGCTTGGTGCGGCATGGGGCTGGGCTGCTGGGGGCACTGCTCCGGGCCTGGCACAGCTGAGCCACCAAGGGGTCCCGGGGGGGCTCCAGGAGCTCGGGGCGCAGCGTGGGGAAGCCATCGTAGCTATGGGGTGAAGGGGGGGGGGGTTATGGGGTGAGGTGGGGGGCGCAATGGGGAGATGATGGGGATAAAGGTGGGGGGCTCACTGGTATTTGGCGGGCAGCTCGGAGCCGTCGGGGGCCACCGGTTGCTCCGGGGGGGTGATGAAGACGGTGTGCTCCCCCCCCCGAGCATCGTCCAGCTCCAGCAATGGGGTGTCCTCAGGCTTCTCTAGGTCCGGCTGTACCTGGGGATGGAGATGCGGGGGTCAATGGGGATGGGGGGGGCAATGGGGATAGGGGGGTCAATGGGGATGGAGGGGGCAATGGGGATGGGGGGGTCAATGGGGATGGGGGGGGCAATGGGGATAGGGGGTCAATGGGGATGGGGGGGTCAATGGGGATGGGGGGGGCAATGGGGATAGGGGGGTCAATGGGGATGGGGGGGGCAATGGGGATGGAGGGGGCAATGGGGATGGGGGGGGCAATGGGGATAGGGGGGTCAATGGGGATGGGGGGGTCAATGGGGATGGAGGGGTCAATGGGGATGGAGGGGTCAATGGGGATGGAGGGGGTCAATGGGGATGGGGGGATCAATGGGGATGGAGGGGGTCAATGGGGATGGGGGGATCAATGGGGATGGGGGGGTCAATGGGGATGGAGGGGGTCAATGGAGATGGGGGTGTCAATGGGGATGGGGGGGTCAATGGGGCTGAGAGTGTCAATGAAGATGGGGGTGTCAATGAGGATGGAAGTGTCAACGGGGACGGGGGTGTCAATGGGGATGGAGGGGGTCAATGGCAACGGAGGTGTCATGAGATGGAGGGTGTCAATGGGGCTGGAGGTGTCAATGGCAATGGGGGTGTCAATGGGGCTGGAGGTATCAATGGGGCTGGGGCTGTCAATGGCAATGGAGGTGTCAATGGGGCTGGAGGTGTCAATGGCAATGGGGGTGTCAATGGGGCTGGAGGTGTCAATGGCAATGGAGGTGTCAATGGGGCTGGAGGTGTCAATGGGGCTGGAGGTGTCAATGGCAATGGGGGTGTCAATGGCAATGGGGGTGTCAATGGCAATGGGGGTGTCAATGGCAATGGAGGTGTCAATGGGGCTGGGCTGTCAATGGGGCTGGGGGTGTCAATGGCAATGGGGGTGTCAATGGCAATGGGGGTGTCAATGGCAAATGGAGGTGTCAATGGGGCTGGAGGTGTCAATGGCAATGGGGGTGTCAATGGGGCTGGAGGTATCAATGGGGCTGGGGCTGTCAATGGCAATGGAGGTGTCAATGGGGCTGGAGGTGTCAATGGCAATGGGGGTGTCAATGGGGCTGGGCTGTCAATGGCAATGGAGGTGTCAATGGGGCTGGAGGTGTCAATGGGGCTGGGCTGTCAATGGGGCTGGGCTGTCAATGGGGCTGGGCTGTCAATGGCAATGGGGGTGTCAATGGGGCTGGGGCTGTCAATGGCAATGGAGGTGTCAATGGGGCTGGAGGTGTCAATGGGGCTGGGCTGTCAATGGGGCTGGGCTGTCAATGGCAATGGAGGTGTCAATGGGGCTGGAGGTGTCAATGGGGCTGGAGGTGTCAATGGGGCTGGGGCTGTCAATGGGGCTGGGGCTGTCAATGGCAATGGAGGTGTCAATGGGGCTGGAGGTGTCAATGGGGCTGGGCTGTCAATGGGGCTGGGGCTGTCAATGGCAATGGGGCTGTCAATGGGGCTGGAGGTATCAATGGGGCTGGGGCTGTCAATGGGGCTGGGCTGTCAATGGCAATGGAGGTGTCAATGGGGCTGGAGGTGTCAATGGGGCTGGAGGTGTCAATGGCAATGGGGGTGTCAATGGGGCTGGGGCTGTCAATGGCAATGGAGGTGTCAATGGGGCTGGAGGTGTCAATGGGGCTGGAGGTGTCAATGGCAATGGGGGTGTCAATGGCAATGGGGGTGTCAATGGCAATGGGGGTGTCAATGGCAATGGAGGCGTCAATGGCAATGGGGGTGTCAATGGCAATGGAGGTGTCAATGGCAATGGAGGTGTCAATGGGGCTGGGCTGTCAATGGGGCTGGAGGTATCAATGGGGCTGGGGCTGTCAATGGCAATGGGGCTGTCAATGGGGCTGGAGGTATCAATGGGTCTGCGCTGGGGGTCGCTGCCGCCCCACTTTGTCCACGCAGGAGTCGAAGAAGTCGAGGCCGGGCTCGCGGTCGGCGCCGAAGGAGCGGTCCTCGATGAACTGCGCGAAGAGCTGCGTGCGCAGGAGCTGCGCGTAGAAACGCTGCTCCCCCCGGTCCCGCGAGCGCAGGAACCCTGCGGCACGAGGAGGCCGTGGGGTGGGGGGTTGGGGGGCGATGGGGGGGGTTTGGGGGGGATGGGGGGGGGGGTTGGGGGAACCAATGGGAGATGGAAGTGCCCCAAACTGCGTTCATCCCGTGTCGTGGCCCTATGGAATTGTGGTTATAGGGGGTGATCCCATCCCCATTGCATCCCGTGTCCCTATGGAATTGTGGTTATAGGGGTGATCCCATCCCCATCCCATCCCCATTGCATCCTGTGTCCCTATGGAATCGTGGTTATAGGGGGGTGATCCCATCCCCATCCCATCCCCATCGCATCCCGTGTCCCTATGGAATCGTGGTTATAGGGGGGTGATCCCATCCCCATCCCATCCCCATCGCATCCTGTGTCCCTATGGAATTGTGGTTATAGGGGTGATCCCATCCCCATTGCATCCCGTGTCCCTATGGAATTGTGGTTATAGGGGTGATCCCATCCCCACCCCATCCCCATCGCATCCCATGTCCCTATGGAATCGTGTTATAGAGGTGATCCCATCCCCATCCCATCCCCATTGCATCCTGTGTCCCTATGGAATCGTGGGTATAGGGGGGTGATCCCATCCCCATCCCATCCCCATCGCATCCCGTGTCCCTATGGAATTGTGGTTATAGGGGTGATCCCATCCCCACCCCATCCCCATCGCATCCCATGTCCCTATGGAATCGTGGTTATAGGGGGGTGATCCCAGCCCCATCCCATCCCGTGTCCCTGTGGAATTGTGGCTATAGGGGGGTGATCCCAGCCCCATCCCATCCCCATCGCATCCCATGTCCCTATGGAATCGTGGTTATAGGGGGGTAATCCCATCCCCATCCCACCCCCATTTCCCTATGGAATCATGGCTATGGGGGAATTGACCCATCCCCATCGCATCCCATGTCCCTATGGAATCGTGGTTATAGGGGGGTGATCCCATCCCCATCCCACCCCGTGTCCCTATGGAATCATGGCTATAGGGGGGGTAACCTGTCCCCATCCCATGTCCCTATGGAATTGCGGCTATAGGGGGGTTAACCTGTCCCCATCCCGTGTCCCTATGGAATCGTGGCTATAGGGGGGGTGATCCCAGACCCATCCCATCCCCATCGCATCCCATGTCCCTATGGAATCGTGGCTATATGGGGGTGATCCCATCCCCATCCCATCCCGTGTCCCTATGGAATCGTGGCTATAGGGGGGTTAACCTGTCCCCACCCCATGTCCCTATGGAATCGTGGCTATGGGGGGGTGATCCCATCCCCATCCCATCCCGTGTCCCTATGGAATCGTGGCTATAGGGGGGTGATCCCATCCCCATCCCATCCCATGTCCCTATGGAATCGTGGTTATAGGGGGGTGATCCCATCCCCATCCCATCCCCATTGCATCCTGTGTCCCTATGGAATCGTGGTTATAGGGGGGTGATCCCCATCCCATCCCATCCCGTGTCCCTGTGGAATTGTGGCTATAGGGGGGTGATCCCAGCCCCATCCCATCCCCATCGCATCCCATGTCCCTATGGAATCGTGGTTATAGGGGGGTAATCCCATCCCCATCCCACCCCATTTCCCTATGGAATCATGGCTATGGGGGAATTGACCCATCCCCATCCCATCCCCATCGCATCCCATGTCCCTATGGAATCGTGGTTATAGGGGGGTGATCCCATCCCCATCCCACCCCGTGTCCCTATGGAATCATGGCTATAGGGGGGTAACCTGTCCCCATCCCTGGTAACCTGTCCCCATCCCATGTCCCTATGGAATTGCGGCTATAGGGGGGTTAACCTGTCCCCATCCCGTGTCCCTATGGAATCGTGGCTATAGGGGGGGTGATCCCAGACCCATCGCACCCCGTGTCCCTATGGAATCGTGGCTATAGGGGGGTGATCCCAGACCCATCCCATCCCCATCGCATCCCATGTCCCTATGGAATCGTGGCTATAGGGGGGTGATCCCATCCCCATCCCATCCCCATCGCATCCCATGTCCCTATGGAATCGTGGCTATAGGGGGGGTGATCCCAGACCCATCGCACCCCGTGTCCCTATGGAATCGTGGCTATAGGGGGGTGATCCCATCCCCACCCCATCCCCATCCCACCCCCTGTCCCTATGGAATCATGGTTATGGGCGGGTTGACCCATCCCCACCCCATCCCATGTCCCTATGGAATCGTGGCTATAGGGGGGGTAACCTGTCCCCACCCCATGTCCCTATGGAATCGTGGCTATGGGGGGTGCTTCCCCCACTCATAGGGGGTTTTCAACCCACCCCTTCCCTATGGCACCCCCCACAGGTGGTGTCTCTCCCCCACCCCCCACAGGTGATGTCTCCCCTCCCCCTCCCCAGGTGGTTTCTACCCACCTCCCACAGGTCTCCCCCCTCCCCCCCACAGATGTTATCCCCCCCTCCCCCATAGATGTTGTCTCTCCCCCCCCTCCCCCACAGATGCTGTTGTGTCTCCCCTCCCCCATAGGTGATGCTGTGGCCCCTCCCCCATAGGTGATGCTGTGGCCCCTCCCCCATAGGTGATGCTGTGCCCCTCCCCCACAGGTGCTGTGCCCCTCCCCCACAGGTGCTGTGCCCCTCCCCCTCACCGTGCAGCTCGAACAGGCTCTGTGTGTCGCTGCTCCCCTCCCCCGCCCCGGGCCGCACGGGCCGCAGGAAGGGGCGGTACCCGCGCAGCGCGCACGCCATGAAGCGCAGGAACGCGCCCTGCGCGCGCAGCTCCAGCTGCGGCCGGCTCGGGGCAGGCTCCGCCCCCCCGCCAGGCCCCGCCCCCGGCCCCGCCTCCGCCTCGCTCGGCTCCAGCCCAAGCGCCGCCTCCTCGTCCGGCTGCGGGAACGCTGCGGGGGGGGGGGGGGGGGACACAAGGGGGGAACCAAGGGGTTATGGGGGGATAAAGGGGTTATGGGGTACAAAGGGGTTATGGGGGATAAAGGGGTTATGGGGTACAAAGGGGTTATGGGGTACAAAGGGGTTATGGGGGGGTAAAGGGGTTATGGGGGATAAAGGGGTTATTGGGGGATAAAGGGGTTATTGGGGGATAAAGGGGTTATGGGGGGATAAAGGGGTTATGGGGTACAAAGGGGTTATGGGGGATAAAGGGGTTATGGGGGATAAAGGGGTTATGGGGTACAAAGGGGTTATGGGATACAAAGGGGTTATGGGGTACAAAGGGGTTATGGGGGGGTAAAGGGGTTATGGGGGGATAAAGGGATTAGGGTTATGGGGGGATAAAGGGGTTATGGGGTTACGGGGGGGGAAAAGGGGTTATGGGGGGGATAAAGTGGTTATGGGGGCACAAAGGGGTTCTGGGGGTCCCCATGCACCCCTCACTCACAGTCCTGCAGCTGCTGGGCCACGTTCTGCAGCGTGGCCAAGAGCACCTTGCAGGGCCGGCGGGGCAGCGCCCGCGGGGGAAGCAGCTTACGCTCCTCGCTCCTGCAGGGATACAGGGGGGGATGGGGGGATGCGCATCCCGGCCCCCATCCATCATTATCCATCCATCATCCATCATCCATCATCATCCATCATCCATCATCCATCCATCATCCATCATCCATCATCATCCATCATTATCCATCCATCATCCATCATCATCCATCATCCATCCATCATCATCCATCATCATCCATCATCATCCATCATCATCCATCATCCATCCATCCATCATCCATCCATCATTCATCCATCATCCATCATCATCCATCATCATCCATCATCATTCATCATCATCCATCATCCATCCATCCATCATCCATCCATCATCCATCCATCATCCATCATCATCCATCATTATCCATCCATCATCCATCATCATCCATCATCATCCATCATCATTCATCATCATCCATCATCCATCATCCATCCATCATCCATCATCCATCATCATCCATCATTATCCATCCATCATCCATCATCCATCATCCATCATCCATCATCATCCATCATCCATCATCCATCATCCATCCATCCATCCATCATCCATCCATCCATCCATCATCCATCCATCATCCATCATTATCCATCCATCATCCATCATCCATCATCATCCATCATCCATCCATCATCCATCCATCATCCATCATCCATCCATCATCCATCATTATCCATCCATCATCCATCATCATCCATCATCCATCCATCATCATCCATCATCATCCATCATCATCCATCATCATCCATCATCCATCCATCATCATCCATCATCATCCATCATCATCCATCATCATCCATCCATCATCCATCCATCATTCATCCATCATCCATCATTATCCATCCATTATCCATCCATCCATCCATCATCCATCCATCATCATCCATCATCATCCATCATCATCCATCCATCATCCATCATCCATCCATCCATCATCCATCCATCCATCCATCATCATCCATCCATCATCCATCATCCATCATCATCCATCATTATCCATCCATCATCCATCATCCATCATTATCCATCCATCATCCATCCATCATCCATCATCATCCATCCATCATCCATCATCCATCATCATCCATCATTATCCATCCATCATCCATCATCCATCATTATCCATCCATCATCCATCATCCATCATCATCCATCCATCATCCATTATCCATCATCCATCCATCATCCATTATCCATCCATCCATCCATCATCCATCATTATCCATCCATCATCCATCATCATCCATCCATCATCCATTATCCATCATCCATCATTATCCATCCATCATCCATCATTATCCATCCATCATCCATCATCCATCCATCATCATCCATCATCCATCCATCATCCATCCATCATCCATCCATCATCCATCATCCATCCATCCATCATCCATCCATCATCCATCATCCATCCATCATCCATCATCCATCCATCATCCATCATCATCCATCATCCATCCATCATCCATCCATCCATCCATCCATCCATCATCCATCATCCATCCATCATCCATCATCCATCCATCATCCATCATCATCCATCATCCATCCATCCATCATCCATCATCCATCCATCCATCATCCATCATCCATCCATCCATCATCCATCCATCATCCATCCATCCATCCATCCATCCATCATCCATCATCCATCCATCATCCATCATCCATCCATCATCCATCATCATCCATCATCCATCCATCCATCATCCATCATCCATCCATCCATCATCCATCATCCATCCATCCATCATCCATCCATCATCCATCCATCATCCATTATCCATCATCATCCATCCATCATCCATCCATCCATCATCCATTTATCATCCATCATCCATCCATCATCCATCCATCATCATCCATCCATCATCCATCCATCCATCATCCATCCATCATCCATCCATCCATCCATCATCCATCATCCATCCATCCATCATCCATCATCCATCCATCATCCATCCATCATCCATCATCCATCCATCATCCATCATCCATCCATCCATCATCCATCCATCATCCATCATCCATTATCCATCATCATCCATCCATCATCCATCCATCCATCATCCATCCATCCATCATCCATCATCCATCATCCATCCATCCATCATCCATCCATCATCCATCATCCATTATCCATCATCATCCATCCATCATCCATCCATCCATCATCCATCCATCCATCATCCATCATCCATCATCCATCATCCATCCATCCATCATCCATCATCCATCCATCCATCATCCATCCATCATCCATCATCATTCATCCATCATCCATCCATCCATCCATCCATCCATCATCCATCCATCCATCCCATCCATCCATCATCCATCATCCATCCCATCCTATCCATCATCATCCATCCATCCATCCATCCACCATTATCCATCCATCCATCCATCCATCCATCCATCCATCCATCTATCATCCATCATCCATCCATCCATCATCCATCTATCATCCATCATCCATCCATCCATTATCCATCATCATCCATCCATCATCCATCCATCCATCATCCATCCATCATCCATCATCCATCCATCCATCATCCATCCATCATCCATCCATCCATCCATCATCCATCATCCATCCATCCATCATCCATCATCCATCATCCTCATCCATCCATCATCCATCATTATCCATCCATCATCCATCATCCATCCATCATCATCCATCATCCATCCATCATCCATCCATCATCCATCCATCATCCATCATCCATCCATCCATCATCCATCCATCATCCATCATCCATCCATCCATCCATCCATCATCCATCCATCCATCATCCATCCATCATCCATCATCATCCATCATCCCTCCATCCATCCACCTCCATCCATCATCCATCCATCCATCATCCATCCATCCATCCATCCATCATCCATCCATCCATCCATCATCCATCATCCATCCATCCATCATCCATCTATCATCCATCATCCATCCATCCATCCATCCATCATCATCCATCATCCATCATCCATCCTCCCCCCCGCGCTGTGGGGCAGGGCCCTCACTGGGACACGGTGTTGGTGTCCAGGTCCACGCAGACCACGTCCCGGGGGGGCTGGTGGAGGTCGAAGTAGCTGGAGTGGAGCCCCACGATGAAGGGCACGGGGGCGCTGAGCACGTCGGCCAGCGCCAGCGGGCACAGGGGGATGTAGGGGCACTGCCAGCGCAGGGGGAAGATCATCTGGGGGGCAGGGTGGGGGTGGAGGGGGGCAGCCGTGAGCAGGGCTCCGCCAGCCCCACTGCGGCCTCGGCCAGCCCCGGCCAACAGCCTGGGACCACCCCCAACCCATTTCCAACCCATTTCCACCCATTTCCAACTCATTTCCAACCCATTTCCAACCCATTTCCTCCATTTCCAACCCATTTCCCCCATTTCCAACCCATTTCCAACCCATTTCCAACCCATTTCCCCCATTTCCAACCCGTTTCCCCCATTTCCAACCCATTTCCAACCCATTTCCTCCATTTCCAACCCATTTCCAACCCATTTCCAACCCATTTCCAACCCATTTCCTCCATTTCCAACCCATTTCCAACCCATTTCCAACCCATTTCCCCCATTTCCAACCCATTTCCAACCAGTTTCCAACCCATTTCCCCCATTTCCAACCCATTTCCAACCCATTTCCAACCCATTTCCAACCCGTTTCCAACCCATTTCCAACCCATTTCCCCCATTTCCAACCCATTTCCAACCCATTTCCCCCATTTCCAACCCATTTCCAACCCATTTCTCCCATTTCCAACCCATTTCCAACCCGTTTCCAACCCATTTCCAACCCATTTCTCCCATTTCCAACCCATTTCTCCCATTTCCAACCCGTTTCCAACCCGTTTCCAACCCATTTCCAACCTATTTCTCCCATTTCCAACCCGTTTCCAACCCATTTCCAACCCATTTCTCCCATTTCCAACCCATTTCCAACCCATTTCCAACCCATTTCTCCCATTTCCAACCCATTTCCAACCCATTTCCAACCCATTTCCTCCATTTCCAACCCATTTCCAACCCATTTCCCCCATTTCCAACCCATTTCCAACCCATTTCCAACCCGTTTCCCCCATTTCCAACCCATTTCCCACCCATTTCCCACCCATTTCCAACCCATTTCCAACCCGTTTCCAACCCATTTCCAACCAGTTTCCAACCCATTTCCAACCCGTTTCCAACCCGTTTCCAACCCGTTTCCAACCCATTTCCCCCATTTCCAACCCATTTCCAACCCATTTCCAACCCGTTTCCCCCATTTCCAACCCATTTCCAACCCATTTCCAACCCATTTCCAACTCATTTCCCCCATTTCCAACCCATTTCCAACCCGTTTCCCCCATTTCCAACCCATTTCCAACCCATTTCCAACTCATTTCCCCCATTTCCAACCCATTTCCAACTCATTTCCCCCATTTCCAACCCATTTCCAACCCCTTTCCCCCATTTCCAACCCATTTCCAACCCATTTCCAACCCATTTCCAACCCATTTCCCCCATTTCCAACCCATTTCCCCCATTTCCAACCCATTTCCAACCCATTTCCAACCCATTTCCCCCATTTCCAACCCATTTCCCCCATTTCCAACCCATTTCCAACCCATTTCCAACCCATTTCCAACCCATTTCCAATCCATTTCCAACTCATTTCCCCCATTTCCAACCCATTTCCCCCATTTCCAACCCATTTCCAACCCATTTCCAACCCATTTCCAACCCGTTTCCCCCATTTCCAACCCATTTCCAACCCATTTCCAACCCATTTCCAACCCATTTCCAACCCGTTTCCAACCCATTTCCAACCCATTTCTCCCATTTCCAACCCGTTTCCAACCCATTTCCAACCCGTTTCCAACCCATTTCCCCCATTTCCAACCCGTTTCCAACCCGTTTCCAACCCATTTCCAACCCATTTCCAACCCGTTTCCAACCCATTTCCAACCCATTTCCAACCCATTTCTCCCATTTCCAACCCGTTTCCAACCCATTTCCCCCATTTCCAACCCATTTCTCCCATTTCCAACCCGTTTCCAACCCATTTCCAACCCGTTTCCAACCCATTTCCCCCATTTCCAACCCATTTCTCCCATTTCCAACCCGTTTCCAACCCATTTCCAACCCGTTTCCAACCCATTTCCCCCATTTCCAACCCGTTTCCAACCCATTTCCAACCCATTTCCAAACCCATTTCCAACCCGTTTCCAACCCATTTCCAACCCATTTCCAACCCATTTCCAACCCATTTCCCCCATTTCCCCAGCCCCATTCCCCCCATGTCCCCTATGGGACCAGTGCCCCCCACTGCCCCAGCCCCATTCCCCCCATGTTCCCCTATGGGGCCGGTGCCCCCCATTCCCCCCCTCTCCCCCCATGTCCCCTATGGGGCCGTGCCCCCTCTCACCGCCACCAGGGCCTCCCCCACGCCCGTGAGCACATCAGGGCGCAGCGAGTGCAGGAGCACTTTGTGCTCCGTGAGCACGGCCACGAGCAGCGCCACGGCCGTGCCCGGCCCCACGGCGCGCAGCAAGCTCAGGAAGCTGGCGCCGCTGGGGGGCAGAGGTGTGGGGCTGAGGAGTGGGGCGGGGGGGTGGGGCAGGGGGGTGGGGCAGGGGTGTGGGGCAGAGGCATGGGGCAGAGGTGTGGGGCAGAGGTGTGGGGCAGAGATGTGGGGCAGAGGAGTGGGGCAGAGGCGTGGGGCAGAGGCATGGGGCAGAGGCGTGGGGCAGGGATGTGGGGCAGGGATGTGGGGCAGGGATGCGGGGCAGAGGCATGGGGCAGGGATGTGGGGCAGGGACGTGGGGCAGGGATGTGGGGCAGGGATGTGGGGCAGGGATGCGGGGCAGAGGCGTGGGGCAGGGATGTGGGGCAGGGACGTGGGGCAGGGGTGTGGGGCAGGGGTGTGGGGCAGAGGCGTGGGGCAGAGGCGTGGGGCAGGAACGTGGGGCAGGGATGTGGGGCAGGGATGTGGGGCAGAGGCGTGGGGCAGGGACGTGGGGCAGGGATGTGGGGCAGGGATGCGGGGCAGAGGCGTGGGGCAGGGATGTGGGGCAGGGACGTGGGGCAGGGATGTGGGGCAGAGGCGTGGGGCAGGGATGTGGGGCAGGGACGTGGGGCAGGGATGTGGGGCAGGGATGCGGTGCAGGGATGCGGGGCAGAGGCGTGGGGCAGGGATGTGGGGCAGGGATGTGGGGCAGGGATGCGGGGCAGGGATGTGGGGCAGGGATGCGGGGCAGGGATGTGGGGCAGGGATGTGGGGCAGGGATGTGGGGCAGGGATGCGGGGCAGAGGCGTGGGGCAGGGATGCGGGGCAGGGATGTGGGGCAGGGATGCGGGGCAGGGATGTGGGGCAGGGATGCGGGGCAGGGATGTGGGGCAGGGATGTGGGGCAGGGATGCGGGGCAGGGATGTGGGGCAGGGATGTGGGGCAGGGATGCGGTGCTCAGAGCATCCCTCGCGCGCATCCGGCCCGGTCCCAGCCCCCCAAATCCGGGTCCCCTTCGGCCCCTACCTGAGCGGCAATGGGGAGGCAACGGGGCGGCAGAGCAGGACGCTGTCATAGGGGGACATCTGGGGGGGATATGGGGGGTAAAGGGGGCATAAATAAGGGGGGACACAAATAGAGATAGACAGGACACACACGTGGGGGGGGACACACATCTATGGGGCAGACACATATATGGGGGGACACACATATGTAGGGGGCACACATCTATAGGGGGCACACATCTATAGGGGGGACACATCTATAGGAGGGACACACACATCTATAGGGGGCACACACATATATAGGGGGACACATATATGGGGGGCACACATCTATGGGGGGACACATATATGGGGGGAACACATATATGGGGGGCATACATCTATAGGGGGGACACACATATATGGGGCACACACATATATAGGGGGACACATATATGGGGGGAACACATATGGGGGGCATACATCTATAGGGGGGACACACATATATGGGGCACACATCTATAGGGGGACACACATATATGGGGGGCACACACATACATGGGGCACACACATATATAGGGAAAACACACATATATAGGGGGACACACGTATATAGGGGGCACACATCTATAGGGGGCACACTCATATATGGGGGGCACACATCTATAGGGGGACACACATATATGGGGGGAACACACATATAGGGGGACACATCTATAGGGGAACACACATATATAGGGGGGACACATCTATAGGGGAACACACATATATAGGGGGGACACATCTATAGGGGAACACACATATATAGGGGGACAAACACATATGGGGTACACACAGAGCTATGGGGGGCTCACAGGGCTATGGGGGGCTCACAGAGCTATGGGGGGCTCACAGGGCTATGGGGGGCTCACAGAGCTATGGGGGGCTCACAGGGCTATGGGGGGCTCACAGGGCTATGGGGGGCTCACAGGGCTATGGGGGCTCACAGGGCTATGGGGGGCTCACAGGGCTATGGGGGCTCACAGGGCTATGGGGGGCTCACAGGGCTATGGGGGCTCACAGGGCTATGGGGGGCTCACAGGGCTATGGGGGGGCTCACAGGGCTATGGGGGGCTCACAGAGCTATGGGGGGGCTCACAGGGCTATGGGGGGCTCACAGAGCTATGGGGGGCTCACAGAGCTATGGGGGCTCACAGAGCTATGGGGGGCTCACAGGGCTATGGGGGGCTCACAGAGCTATGGGGGGCTCACAGAGCTATGGGGGGCTCACAGGGCTATGGGGAGCACAGGGCTATGGGGGGCTCACAGGGCTATGGGGGGCTCACAGGGCTATGGGGCGGCTCACAGGGCTATGGGGGGCTCACAGGGCTATGGGGGGGCTCACAGAGCTATGGGGGGCTCACAGGGCTATGGGGCGGCTCACAGAGCTATGGGGGGCTCACAGAGCTATGGGGGGCTCACAGAGCTATGGGGCGGCTCCCCCTCACCTGCACCAGGATGCGCGGGCGCTGCGGCGACGGGAAGGGGACGTTGTGCATGAAGTGGGAGATGTGCCTGGGGACGGAGGCAGCATCGGTGTGGGGGGGAACCCGCGGCCCCTGCCCCATCCCACTGCACCCCACTGCATCCCATCACATCACACTGCATCCCATTGCATCTCACCCCATCCCATCGCACTGCATCCCATTGCATCTCACCCCATCCCATCGCACTGCATCCCACCCCATCCCATTGCATCCCACTGCATCTTGTCCCATCCCCACTGCACCCCACTGCACCAAACTGCATCCCATTGTATCTCTATTGCATCCCATCCCACTGCATCCCATTGTATCCCATTGCATCCCATTGCACCCCACTGCATCCCATCCCATCCCACTGCATCCCACCCCATCCCATTGCATCCCACTGCATCCTGTCCCATCCCTACTGCATCCTACTGCACCCCACTACATCCCACTGCATCCCATCCCATCCCACTGCATCTCATTGCATTCCAACCCATCACATCCCCATCTCACTGCATCTCACTGCATCCCATTGCATCCCACTGCATCCCACCCCATTGCATCCCACTGCATCCCAACCCATCGCATCCCCATCCCACTGCATCCCACCGCATCCCATCCCACCACATCCCCATCCCACTGCATCCCACTGCCTCCCACCCCACTGCATCCCATTGAATCCCATTGCATCCCACTGCATCCCATCCCATCGCATCCCCATCCCACTGCATCCCACTGCATGCCACCCCATTGCATCCCACTGCATCCCAACCCATTGCATCCCCATCCCACTGCATCCTACTGCATCCCATCCCATCGTATCCCCATCCCACTGCACCCCACTGCACCCCACTGCATCCTAACCCATTGCATCCCCATCCCACTGCATCCCAACCCATTGCATCCCCATCCCACTGCATCCCACTGCATCCCACTGCATCCTAACCCATTGCATCCCCATCCCACTGCATCCCACCCCATTGCATCCCCATCCCACTGCATCCCACTGCATCCCACTGCATCCTAACCCATTGCATCCCCATCCCACTGCATCCCACTGCATCCTAACCCATTGCATCCCCATCCCACTGCATCCCAACCCATTGCATCCCCATCCCACTGCATCCCACTGCACCCCACTGCATCCCACTGCATCCCAACCCATTGCATCCCCATCCCACTGCATCCCACCCCACCCCACCGCCCCCGCTGCCCCCATCCCGTTGCCACTGACGTCTCGAGGGGCAGGACGTGGGGCCCGGACACGGAGTAGCGGTAGAGGAAGAGCAGGAACTGGCGGAAGACGCGGAAGCAGGGCCAGCGGGACAGCACGCAGAGGCTCTTGCGGGCGTGGGGCGCGCGCCCCGGCACCGGCCGCCGGTCCACAACGCTCACGAGGCCCAGGCGCAGGCTCTGGCGCTCCGAGAGCCGCTCGGCAGGGAAGGCCTCGTGGAACTGGATGGCGGCCCCATAGATCTATGGGGGGGGAAGGCGGGATGGGGGTCACAGCGGGGAAGGGAAAGTGGGGCGGACCTCAACCCCACTTGACCCATAGCATCCCCAGCCCAAAAGCCAGGCCTTGCCTTGTCTCCGGAGGCGCCGGTGAGGACGAAGGGGGAGAAGAGGGGCAGCGGGTATGGGGTGCCCGTGGGCCAGCTCTCGATGGTGGCCCCCATGGGCAGGCAGAAGATGGGCACCGAGGCCGGCAGAGGGAAGGAGGAGGTGTCCTGAGCGGGATAACGGCTGAGCAGGGCTGGGGGGAGAGGGGGGAGAGGGGCTCATGAGCATCAGGGATGCAGGGATGAGCATCCTGCACTGGTACCCACATACAGGGGTGAGCATCCTGCACTGGTACCCACACACAGGGATGAGCATCCTGCATTGGTACCCACATGCAGGGATGAGCATCCTGCATTGGTACCCACACACAGGGATGAGCATCCTGCATTGGTACCCACATACAGGGATACAGGGATGAGCATCCTGCATTGGTACCCACATACAGGGATGAGCATCCTGCATTGGTACCCACACACAGGGATACAGGGATGAGCATCCTGCATTGGTACCCACATACAGGGATGAGCATCCTGCATTGGTACCCACATACAGGGATGAGCATCCTGCATTGGTACCCACATACAGATACAGGGATGAGCATCCTGCACTGGTACCCACATATGGATACAGGGGTGAGCATCCTGCATTGGTACCCACACACAGGGGTGAGCATCCTGCATTGGTACCCACATACAGGGGTGAGCATCCTGCACTGGTACCCACACACAGGGATGAGCATCCTGCATTGGTACCCACATGCAGGGATGAGCATCCTGCACTGGTACCCACACACAGGGATGAGCATCCTGCATTGGTACCCACATACAGGGATACAGGGATGAGCATCCTGCATTGGTACCCACATACAGGGATACAGGGATGAGCATCCTGCATTGGTACCCACATACAGGGATGAGCATCCTGCATTGGTACCCACATACAGATACAGGGATGAGCATCCTGCACTGGTACCCACATATGGATACAGGGGTGAGCATCCTGCATTGGTACCCACATACAGGGGTGAGCATCCTGCACTGGTACCCACACACAGGGATGAGCATCCTGCATTGGTACCCACATGCAGGGATGAGCATCCTGCACTGGTACCCACACACAGGGATGAGCATCCTGCATTGGTACCCACATGCAGGGATGAGCATCCTGCATTGGTACCCACACACAGGGATGAGCATCCTGCATTGGTACCCACATACAGGGATACAGGGATGAGCATCCTGCATTGGTACCCACATACAGGGATGAGCATCCTGCATTGGTACCCACACACAGGGATACAGGGATGAGCATCCTGCATTGGTACCCACATACAGGGATGAGCATCCTGCATTGGTACCCACATACAGGGATGAGCATCCTGCATTGGTACCCACACAGGGATACAGGGATGAGCATCCTGCATTGGTACCCACACAGGGATACAGGGATGAGCATCCTGCATTGGCACCCACACAGGGATACAGGGATGAGCATCCTGCACTGGTACCCACACAGGGATACAGGGATGAGCATCCTCCATTGGTACCCACATACAGGGATGAGCATCCTGCACTGGTACCCACACAGGGATACAGGGATGAGCATCCTGCATTGGTACCCACACAGGGATACAGGGATGAGCATCCTGCATTGGTACCCACACATGGATACAGGGATGAGCATCCTGCATTGGTACCCACACATGGATACAGGGATGAGCATCCTGCATTGGTACCCACATACAGGGATACAGGGATGAGCATCCTGCATTGGTACCCACATACAGGGATGAGCATCCTGCATTGGTACCCACATACAGGGATACAGGGATGAGCATCCTGCATTGGTACCCACATACAGGGATGAGCATCCTGCATTGGTACCCACATATGGATACAGGGATGAGCATCCTGCACTGGTACCCACACACAGGGGTGAGCATCCTGCATTGGTACCCACATACAGGGATGAGCATCCTGCATTGGTACCCACACAGGGATACAGGGACGAGCTCCCTGCTCCTTGGTACCCACACAGGGATACAGGGATGAGCATCCTGCATTGGTACCCACACATGGATACAGGGATGAGCATCCTGCATTGGTACCCATATACAGGGGTGAGCATCCTGCTCCTTGGTACCCACATATGGATACAGGGATGAGCATCCTGCATTGGTACCCACACAGGGATACAGGGATGAGCATCCTGCACTGGTACCCACACAGGGATACAGGGATGAGCATCCTGCATTGGTACCCACACAGGGATACAGGGATGAGCATCCTGCATTGGCACCCACACAGGGATACAGGGATGAGCTCCCTGCCCCTCGGTACCCACATATGGATACAGGGATGAGCATCCTGCACTGGTACCCACACAGGGATACAGGGATGAGCATCCTGCATTGGTACCCACATACAGGGATGAGCATCCTGCATTGGCACCCACACAGGGATACAGGGATGAGCATCCTGCATTGGTACCCATATACAGGGGTGAGCATCCTGCTCCTTGGTACCCACATATGGATACAGGGATGAGCATCCTGCATTGGTACCCACATACAGGGATGAGCATCCTGCATTGGTACCCACACAGGGATACAGGGACGAGCTCCCTGCTCCTTGGTACCCACACAGGGATACAGGGATGAGCATCCTGCATTGGTACCCACACATGGATACAGGGATGAGCATCCTGCATTGGTACCCACACATGGATACAGGGATGAGCATCCTGCATTGGTACCCACACACAGGGGTGAGCATCCTGCTCCTTGGTACCCACATATGGATACAGGGATGAGCATCCTGCATTGGTACCCACATACAGGGATGAGCATCCTGCATTGGTACCCACACAGGGATACAGGGACGAGCTCCCTGCTCCTTGGTACCCACACAGGGATACAGGGATGAGCATCCTGCATTGGTACCCACACATGGATACAGGGATGAGCATCCTGCATTGGTACCCACACATGGATACAGGGATGAGCATCCTGCATTGGTACCCACACACAGGGGTGAGCATCCTGCTCCTTGGTACCCACATATGGATACAGGGATGAGCATCCTGCATTGGTACCCACACAGGGATACAGGGATGAGCATCCTGCACTGGTACCCACACAGGGATACAGGGATGAGCATCCTGCACTGGTACCCACACAGGGATACAGGGATGAGCATCCTGCACTGGTACCCACACAGGGATACAGGGATGAGCATCCTGCATTGGTACCCACACAGGGATACAGGGATGAGCATCCTGCACTGGCACCCACACAGGGATACAGGGATGAGCACCCTGCCCCTCGGTACCCACACATGGACCCATGGATGAGCTCCCTGCCCCCCGTTATCCCACCCAAGGGCGCAGGAGGCCGCGCAGGATGGGGCCCAGCCCCTACCTGCTTCATAGACCAAGGCATTGGCGCTGGCCACGGAGATCTTGTAGCACAGGTACAGGGCAGGGCCCCACTGCACAGAGAAGAGCTGGGGGTCAGTGTGGGGCTGGGTGCTGATGGGGACCCTACAGGCACCCACTGCAGCGCACCCACAGCAGCGCTATGGGGCCGGCTGCACTCACCGCCCCCCGTCCTCCCCGCATTGCACCGCTATGGGGCAGGCTGCATACAACACCCCCATAGGCCCCACTGCAGGGCACCCATAGCAGTCCTATGGGTCCGCCTGCATCCAACGTCCCCATAGGCCCCCGTTGCACCGCTATGGGTCCAGCTGCATCCAATGCCCCCCCACTCCCATTGACCCGCTATGGGTCCAGCTACTGACAACGCCCCCATAGCACTGCTATGGGGCAGGCAGCAGACAATACCCCTCCCCCCTGCAGTTCCCTCTCTCCCCATAGCAGTTCCTCTCTCCCCATAGCAGTTCCTCTCCCCATAGCAGTTCCTCTCCCCATAGCAGTTCCTCTCCCCATAGCAGTTCCTCTCCCCATAGCAGTTCCTCTCTCCCCATAGCAGTTCCTCTCTCCCCATAGCAGTTCCTCTCCCCATAGCAGTTCCTCTCTCCCCATAGCAGTTCCTCTCCCCATAGCAGTTCCTCTCCCCATAGCAGTTCCTCTCCCCATAGCAGTTCCTCTCCCCATAGCAGTTCCTCTCCCCATAGCAGTTCCCCTCTCCCCATAGCAGTTCCTCTCCCCATAGCAGTTCCTCTCCCCATAGCAGTTCCTCTCCCCATAGCAGTTCCTCTCCCCATAGCAGTTCCTCTCTCCCCATAGCCGTTCCTCTCTCCCCATAGCCGTTCCTCTCCCCATAGCAGTTCCTCTCCCCATAGCAGTTCCTCTCCCCATAGCAGTTCCTCTCCCCATAGCAGTTCCTCTCTCCCCATAGCAGTTCCTCTCCCCATAGCAGTTCCTCTCTCCCCATAGCAGTTCCTCTCCCCATAGCAGTTCCTCTCCCCATAGCAGTTCCTCTCCCCATAGCAGTTCCTCTCCCCATAGCCGTTCCTCTCCCCATAGCAGTTCCTCTCCCCATAGCAGTTCCTCTCTCCCCATAGCAGTTCCTCTCCCCATAGCAGTTCCTCTCCCCATAGCAGTTCCTCTCTCCCCATAGCAGTTCCTCTCTCCCCATAGCAGTTCCTCTCTCCCCATAGCAGTTCCTCTCTCCCCATAGCAGTTCCTCTCTCCCCATAGCAGTTCCTCTCCCCATAGCAGTTCCTCTCTCCCCATAGCAGTTCCTCTCCCCATAGCAGTTCCTCTCCATAGCAGTTCCTCTCTCCCCATAGCAGTTCCTCTCTCCCCATAGCAGTTCCTCTCTCCCCATAGCAGTTCCTCTCCATAGCAGTTCCTCTCTCCCCATAGCAGTTCCTCTCCCCATAGCAGTTCCTCTCCCCATAGCAGTTCCTCTCCCCATAGCAGTTCCTCTCCCCATAGCAGTTCCTCTCTCCCCATAGCAGTTCCTCTCTCCCCATAGCAGTTCCTCTCTCCCCATAGCAGTTCCTCTCTCCCCATAGCAGTTCCTCTCTCCCCATAGCAGTTCCTCTCCATAGCAGTTCCTCTCTCCCCATAGCAGTTCCTCTCTCCCCATAGCAGTTCCTCTCTCCCCATAGCAGTTCCTCTCCATAGCAGTTCCTCTCTCCCCATAGCAGTTCCTCTCCCCATAGCAGTTCCTCTCCCCATAGCAGTTCCTCTCCCCATAGCAGTTCCTCTCCCCATAGCAGTTCCTCTCCCCATAGCAGTTCCTCTCTCCCCATAGCAGTTCCTCTCTCCCCATAGCAGTTCCTCTCTCCCCATAGCAGTTCCTCTCCCCATAGCAGTTCCTCTCCCCATAGCAGTTCCTCTCCCCATAGCAGTTCCTCTCCCCATAGCAGTTCCTCTCTCCCCATAGCAGTTCCTCTCCCCATAGCAGTTCCTCTCTCCCCATAGCAGTTCCTCTCTCCCCATAGCAGTTCCTCTCTCCCCATAGCAGTTCCTCTCCCCATAGCAGTTCCTCTCCCCATAGCAGTTCCTCTCTCCCCATAGCCGTTCCTCTCTCCCCATAGCAGTTCCTCTCCCCATAGCCGTTCCTCTCTCCCCATAGCAGTTCCTCTCTCCCCATAGCAGTTCCTCTCCCCATAGCAGTTCCTCTCCCCATAGCAGTTCCTCTCTCCCCATAGCAGTTCCTCTCTCCTCATAGCAGTTCCTCTCCCCATAGCAGTTCCTCTCCCCATAGCAGTTCCTCTCCCCATAGCAGTTCCTCTCCCCATAGCAGTTCCTCTCTCCCCATAGCAGTTCCTCTCCCCATAGCAGTTCCTCTCCCCATAGCAGTTCCTCTCCCCATAGCAGTTCCTCTCCCCATAGCACTTCCTCTCCCCATAGCACTTCCTCTCCCCATAGCACTTCCTCTCCCCATAGCAGTTCCTCTCTCCCCATAGCACTTCCTCTCCCCATAGCACTTCCTCTCCCCATAGCACTTCCTCTCCCCATAGCCGTTCCTCTCTCCCCATAGCAGTTCCTCTCTCCCCATAGCAGTTCCTCTCTCCCCATAGCACTTCCTCTCCCCATAGCAGTTCCTCTCTCCCCATAGCAGTTCCTCTCTCCCCATAGCCGTTCCTCTCTCCCCATAGCAGTTCCTCTCTCCCCATAGCAGTTCCTCTCTCCCCATAGCACTTCCTCTCCCCATAGCAGTTCCTCTCCCCATAGCAGTTCCTCTCCCCATAGCAGTTCCTCTCTCCCCATAGCGGTTCCTCTCCCCATAGCAGTTCCTCTCTCCCCATAGCAGTTCCTCTCCCCATAGCAGTTCCTCTCTCCCCATAGCGGTTCCTCTCTCCCCATAGCAGTTCCTCTCCCCATAGCAGTTCCTCTCTCCCCATAGCAGTTCCTCTCCCCATAGCAGTTCCTCTCCCCATAGCAGTTCCTCTCTCCCCATAGCAGTTCCTCTCTCCCCATAGCAGTTCCTCTCCCCATAGCAGTTCCTCTCTCCCCATAGCGGTTCCTCTCTCCCCATAGCAGTTCCTCTCCCCATAGCAGTTCCTCTCTCCCCATAGCAGTTCCTCTCCCCATAGCAGTTCCTCTCCCCATAGCAGTTCCTCTCTCCCCATAGCAGTTCCTCTCCCCATAGCGGTTCCTCTCCCCATAGCAGTTCCTCTCTCCCCATAGCAGTTCCTCTCCCCATAGCAGTTCCTCTCTCCCCATAGCGGTTCCTCTCTCCCCATAGCAGTTCCTCTCCCCATAGCAGTTCCTCTCCCCATAGCAGTTCCTCTCCCCATAGCAGTTCCTCTCCCCATAGCAGTTCCTCTCTCCCCATAGCAGTTCCTCTCTCCCCATAGCAGTTCCTCTCCCCATAGCAGTTCCTCTCTCCCCATAGCAGTTCCTCTCTCCCCATAGCAGTTCCTCTCTCCCCATAGCAGTTCCTCTCCCCATAGCAGTTCCTCTCCCCATAGCAGTTCCTCTCTCCCCATAGCCGTTCCTCTCCCCATAGCAGTTCCTCTCCCCGCTGCAGTTCCCCCGTTGCCCGCCTGGTGGCGCCACTCACGGGTCCCGCGCTGAGGCTGCGCTGCACGCGGCTGTACGCGTGTGGGGCGCGCTCCCCGCGCGCGGGAAGGATGAGGCAGATGTCGGTGACGACAGCGGCGGAAGGGGCGGGGCCGGGCGTGGCGCGCGCGCGCCGGAACGTGAGGAAAGCGCGGGAACGCGCAGGGCCGCCCCCCGCCAGCGCCGCCGAGCGGCTGTAGGGGGTGGTGGCCACCAGCAGCTCCCCCGGGCCCGGCCCCACCGAGCCCTCGTAGTGAACCCTGCGGGGGGGAGACAGGGGGTGAACGGGGGGGGCTATGGGGGGGCTATGGGGATCTATGGGGCAGTCGAGGGGGAAGCTATGGGGCAATCTATGGGGGGGCTATGGGGGTCTATGGGGGGGCTATGGGGGTCTATGGGGGGGCTATGGGGAGGCTATGGGGGGGCTATGGGGGATATGGGGGGGCTATGGGGGGCTATCGGGGGTCTATGGGGGGCTATGGGGGGGCTATGGGGCACTCTAGGGGGGTCTATGGGGGGCTATGGGGGTCTATGGGGGGTCTATGGGGGGCCTATGGGGAGGCTATGGGGGGTCTATGGGGGTCTATGGGGGGTCTGTGGGGGGGCTATGGGGGTCTATGAGGGGGCTATGGGGGTCTATGGGGGGGCTATGGGGGTCTATGGGGGGGCTATGGGGGGCTATGGGGGGGCTATGGGGGTCTATGGGGGGGCTATGGGGGCCTATGGGGATCTATGGGGGGCTATGGGGGGCTATGGGGCACTCTATGGGGGTCTATGGGGGGGCTATGGGGGGGCTATGGGGGTCTATGGGGCAGTCGAGGGGGAAGCTATGGGGCAATCTATGGGGGGTCTATGGGGGGTCTATGGGGGTATATGGGGGGGATATGGGGCACTCTAGGGGGGTCTAGGGGGGGTCTATGGGGGGCTATGGGGGTCTATGGGGGGCTATGGGGGGGCTATGGGGGTCTATGGGGGGGCTATGGGGGTCTATGGGGGGCTATGGGGGGTCTATGGGGATCTATGGGGGCTATGGGGGGTCTATGGGGGGGCTACGGGGGTCTATGGGGGGCTATGGGGGCTATGGGGAGGCTATGGGGGCTATGGGGGGGCTATGGGGGTCTATGGGGGGCTATGGGGAGGCTATGGGGGATATGGGGGGGCTATGGAGGTCTATGGGGGGGCTATGGGGGTCTATGGGGAGGCTATGGGGGGGCTATGGGGGATATGGGGCGGCTATGGGGGTCTATGGGGGGGCTATGGGGGTCTATGGGGGGCTATGGGGGTCTATGGGGGGATCTATGGGGGGCTATGGGGGGTCTATGGGGGGGCTATGGGGGGTCTATGGGGGGCTATGGGGGGATCTACAGGGAATCTATGGGGGGGTCTATGGGGCAATCTATGAGGGGTCTATGGGGGGTCTATGGGGGTTCTATGGGGCAATCTATGGGGGTCTATGGGGCAGTCGAGGGGGGGTCTATGGGGGGGCTATGGGGGGTCTATGGGGGGTCTATGGGGATCTATGGGGGTCTATGGGGCACTCTAGGAGGGGTCTATGGGGATCTATGGGGGGATCTACAGGGGATCTATGGGGGATCTATGGGGGGTCTATAGGGGGATCTACAGGGAATCTATGGGGGGGTCTATGGGGCAATCTATGAGGGGTCTATGGGGGGATCTACAGGGGATCTATGGGGGGTCTATGGGGATCTATGGGGCACTCTATGGGGGATCGAAGGGTCACTCTATGGAGGAATCTATGGGGCTCTATGGGGGATCTATGTGGAGCAAAGTGGGCTCTTTGGGGTGCTCTATGGGGTGCTCTAAGGGGTGCCCTGTGTGGGGCAGGGGGAGCTCTACAGGGTGCTCTATGGGTCCCTATGTGTCTCTATGGGTCCGTATGCTCTCTCAATGGTCTCTCTATGGTCTCCCTATGTATCTCTATGGGTCTCTATGTCTCTCTATGGGTGCTCTATGTGTCTCTATGGGTCTCTATGGTCTCTCTATGGGTCTCTATGGGTCCCGCTATGGGTCTCTATGGGTCGCTGTGGGTCGCTGTGGGTCTCACCCCAGGGCCACGATGGGGCTGCGGTCCCGCCCCCTGCGGTAGCAGAGGCAGAGGATGCTCTATGGGTGCTTTATGTCTCTCTATGGGTCTCTATGGTCTCTCTATGGGTCTCTATGTGTCTCTATGGGTCTCTATGGGTCTCTATGGTCTCTCTATGTGTCTCTATGGGTCTCTATGGTCTCTCTATGGGTGCTCTATGTCTCTCTATGGGTCTCTATGCTCTCTCTATGGGTCCCTATGGTCTCGCTATGGGTCTCTATGGGTCGCTATGGTCTCTCTATGGCTCTCTATGGGTCTCTATGGTCTCTCTATGTGTCTCTATGGGTCCCTATGCTCTCTCTATGGGTCTCTATGGGTCGCTGTGGGTCGCTGTGGGTCTCACGCCAGGGCCACGATGGGGCTGCGGTCCCGCCCCCTGCGGTAGCAGAGGCAGAGGATGCTCTATGGGTGCTCTATGGGTCTCTATGGGTCTCTATGGGTCTCTATGGTCTCTATGGTCTCTATGGGTCTCTATGGGTCTCTATGGTCTCTATGGTCTCTATGGGTCTCTATGGGTCTCTATGGGTCTCTATGGTCTCTATGGGTCTCTATGGGTCTCTATGGTCCCTCTATGGGTCTCTATGGTCTCTCTATGGGTCTCTATGGGTCCCGCTATGGGTCTCTATGGGTCGCTGTGGGTCGCTGTGGGTCTCACCCCAGGGCCACGATGGGGCTGCGGTCCCGCCCCCTGCGGTAGCAGAGGCAGAGGCGGCCGGGGCTGAGCAGCCCCGCGCTGAGCTCCGCCGGGTGCCCGCTGGGCGTGGCCTCGATGCACGTGAAGCCCAGCGGCGCCTCCTCGCCCTGCGCACGCGCGATGAGCGCCACGTCCGTGATTGGCTCCTTGGGCCGAGGCTCCTCCTCCGGCGCCGCCCCGCAGCGCCCCCTGGCGGGCAACGCCCCCGCCGCGGGGAGCCCCGCGACCACGAAGTAATCGACGAGGGCGGGCTCGGCGCACATGGCGGGGGCTGCGGGGGTGACGTCACGGTGACGTCGGGGTGACGTCGGGTTGACTGGGGGGGATGACGTCAGGATAACGCCGGGGTGACGTAGGGATGACGTCAGGATAACGCCGGGGTGACGTAGGGATGACGTAGGGATGACGTAGGGATGACGTAGGGATGACGTAGGGATGATGTAGGGATGATGTCAGGATAACGCGGGGATGATGTAGGGATGACATAGGGATGACGTCGGGATGACGTAGGGATGACGTAGGGATGACGTAGGGATGACGTAGGGATGACGTAGGGATGACGTCAGGATAACGCGGGGATGACGTAGAGATGACGGAGGGATGACGGAGGGATGACGGAGGGATGACGTCAGGATAACGCGGGGATGATGTAGGGATGACATAGGGATGACGTCGGGATGACGTAGGGATGACGTCGGGATGACGTAGGGATGACGTAGGGATGACGTAGGGATGACGTCAGGATAACGCGGGGATGACGTAGGGATGACGTCGGGATGACGTAGGGATGACGTAGGGATGACGTAGGGATGACGTCAGGATAACGCGGGGATGACGTAGGGATGACGTCGGGATGACGTAGGGATGACGTAGGGATGACGGAGGGATGACGTCAGGATAACGCGGGGATGATGTAGGGATGACATAGGGATGACGTCGGGATGACGTAGGGATGACGTCGGGATGACGTAGGGATGACGTAGGGATGACGTAGGGATGACGTCAGGATAACGCGGGGATGACGTAGGGATGACGTCGGGATGACGTAGGGATGACGTAGGGATGACGTAGGGATGACGTAGGGATGACGTCAGGATAACGCGGGGATGACGTAGGGATGACGTCGGGATGACGTAGGGATGACGTAGGGATGACGGAGGGATGACGTCAGGATAACGCGGGGATGACGTCGGGATGACGTCAGGATAACGCGGGGATGACGTAGGGATGACGTAGGGATGACGTCAGGATAACGCAGGGATGATGTAGGGATGACATCGGGATGATGTCAGGATGACGTAGGGATGACGCGGGGATGACGTAAGGATAACGTGGGGATGACGTGGGGATGACATCGGGATGATGTAGGGATGACGTGGGGACGATGTAGGGATGACGCCGGGATGATGTCAGGATGGCGTGGGGATGACGTAGGGATGACACGGGGATGATGTAGGGATGACGTCAGGATGACGTCGGGATGACGTAGGGATGACATCAGGATGACATGGGGATGATGTAGGGATGACGTGGGGACGATGTAGGGATGACGTCGGGATGATGTCAGGATGACGTGGGGATGACGTAGGAATAACATGAGGATAACGTGGGGATAATGTGGGGATGACGTAGGGATAACGTAGGGATGACGTGGGGATGATGTCAGGATAATGCAGGGATAACGTGGGGATGACATCAGGATGACGCAGGGGACGATGTAGGGATGACATAGGGATAACATAGGGAATGACATTGGGAATAACAGGGAAAACAGGGAATGACATGAGGAACGACATAGGGATAACAGGGAATGACATTGGGAATAACAGCAGGATAGCATACAGGTAACATAGGGAATGACATAGAGATAACATAAGGAATGACATCGGAATAATATAGGGAATAACAGTGGGATAACATAGGGATAAAATAGGGAATGGCATAGGGAATAACGGGGATAACACCGGGATGACATAGGAATAACAGTGGGATAACACAGGGATAACAGCGGGAATAACGCAGATAACAGGGATAACGGTGAGGATAACATCAGGAAGAACGGGAATGGGAATAACAGGGATAACGATGGGAGTAATGGGGTTAAGAGTGGGAATGGGAATAACGGGGTAACGGGAATGGGAATAACGGGAATGGGAATAATGGAAATGGGGATAACAGGAATAACGATGGGAATAACAGCAGGAATGGGAATAATGGCGGTAATGGTGGGAATAACGGGGATGACGATGGGAATACCAGCGGGAATACGATGGGAAGGGTGGGAATAACGGGAATGGGAAGAACAGTGGGGATCACAATGGGAATCACAATGGGAATAACGGGGATAACATGGGAATAACATGGGAATATCAGGGATAACAATGGGAATAACGGGGATAACATGGGAATAACATGGGAATAATGGGAATAACAATGGGAATATCAGGGATAACAATGTGAATAACGGGAATAACAATGGGAATAACAGAGATAACAATGGGAATAATGGGAATAACAATGGGAATAACAAGAATAAATATGGGAATTACAGGGATAGTAATGGGAATAATGGGAATAACATGGGAATGGGAATAACAGGGATAACAATGTGAATAACGGGATAATAATGGGAATAACAATGGGAATAACGGAGATAACAATGGGAATAATGGGAATAACAATGGGAATAATGGGAATAACAATGGGAATTACAGGAATAATAATGGGAATAACAGGAATAACAATGGGAATAACAGGGATAATAATGGGAATAACAGGAATAACAATGGGAATAACAGGGATAATAATGGGAATAACGGGAATAACATGGGAATAATGGGAATAACAATGGGAATAAGGGCGGCAATAGCGGGAATGGGAAAAACAGGGATAACGGGAACGGGATAAAGGAACGGGAACGGCTCCCTCCCCTCCCCCCCTCACCTCCCCACCCCCCACCGGGCCCCGCCGGGACTGAGAAAGGGGAAGGAAGCAGCCGGGCCCCTCCCCCCGCCCAGCTATGGGGCAGGACCCACATGGCTCAAAGGCCCCATGGGGCCCGCAGTGGGGCGGCCACTGAGGGTCGGGGGGGAGCAGGAATGGGCTCTGCGCCCCACAGCCCCTGTGCCCCACAACCCTGTGACCCATAACCCTGTGCCCAACAACCCCTGTGCCCCACATCCCCTGTGTTCCACAGCCCCTGTGCCCCATAACCCTGTGCCCCACATCCCCTGTGCCCCACAACTCTATGACCCATAACCCCTGTGCCCCACAACCCTGTGCCCAACAACCCCTGTGCCCCACATCCCCTGTGCCCCATAACCCCTGTGCCCCATAACCCCTGTGCCCCACATCCCGTGCCCCATAACCCCTGTGCCCCACAACCCCTGTGCCCAACAAACCCTGTGCCCCATAACACCACGCCCCACATCCCCTGAACCCCTCATCCCCTGTGCCCCATAACCCCTGTCCCCATAACCCGTGCCCCACATCCCATGTGCCCCACAGCCCCTGTGCCCAACAACCCCTGTGCCCCACAACCCCTGTGCCCCACAGCCCCTGTGCCCCATAACCCGTGCCCCACATCCCCTGTGCTCCACAGCCCCTGTGCCCCATAAGCCCTGCGCCCAACCCCTGCGCCCCATAACCCGTGCCCCACATCCCCTGTGCCCCACATCCCCTGTGCCCCATAACCTCTGTGCCCCATAACCCATGCCCCACATCCCCTGCGCCCCACATCCCCTGTGCTCCACAGCCCCTGTGCCCCACAACCCCTGTGCCCCATAACCTCTGTGCCCCACATCCAGTGTGCCCCACAACCCCAGTGCCCATAACCCCTGTCCCCATAACCCGTGCCCCACATCCCCTGTGCCCCACACCCCCTACGCCCCACACCTCCCATAGAGACACCCGCCCCCAAGGGCCCCACAGCCGAGCCCCACAGCCCCGAGCCCCACGCCCGCCCCACAGCGCTCTCAGGGCCTCACCCCCGCTATGGGGCAGCCGCGGCCTCACCCCCGCTATGGGGCAGCCGCGGCCTCACCCCCGCTATGGGGCAGCCGCGGCCTCACCCCCGCTATGGGGCAGCCTCGGCCTCACCCCCGCTATGGGGCAGCCTCGGCCTCACCCCCGCTATGGGGCAGCCGCGGCCTCACCCCCGCTATGGGGCAGCCTCGGCCTCACCCCCGCTATGGGGCAGCCTCGGCCCCACCCCCGCTATGGGGCAGCCTCGGCCCCACCCCGCTATGGGGCAGCCTCGGCCCCACCCCCGCTATGGAGCAGCCTCGGCCTCACCCCCGCTATGGGGCAGCCGCGGCCTCACCCCCGCTATGGGGCAGCCGCGGCCTCACCCCCGCTATGGGGCAGCCTCGGCCCCACCCCCGCTATGGGGCAGCCCCACAACCTCCCCCCGGTACCTGCGGGCCGCGCCGCTGGGCTCCACCAGGCCGCTCCCGAGCGCCCCTCCCGGCCCCACCCCCGCCAACAGCGCCCCCTGGCGGCCGGGAGGACGCCCCTCACCCCCCCA